CTCACGCACGCACACTTCCCTTCATACCAAAATATCCAAGTTGCATCTAGACAATAAAAAATGCTTATGAAATCTATTGCATTAGTAAAACATAATATAAAGTCTGTAGGATAATGGTAAAAATGTACATCCTTCTGAGAACATTTACATATATTAAAATAATGCACTTCCAACGCTCACAGCATGTATCAATGTATCGTTCTGTCATTACATATCACCTTAGTATGGTGTATTGTTAAATAGATATAACTTTAACATTATACAGATATATAAACATGATGGAAATGAATAAATAAAAATAAGTCACGTTATTGCTGAACATAATGCCAAATGGCATCCATCCCCCGTCATAAAAATTCATATCATATGAAAGCGTTCAAATTGTATTAAGAAAGTGTAAAGTGTTGGGGTATTTTACTATTTTTTAAATCATACCCATGTAAAGGTCATATCATAGGGGAAGAGTACCTTGTCACTAATTCCCCATTAACTCAAAGTTGAATGAGAATATAAAATTTCGTAAAATTTCTTTGGGTTGAAGATTCTAGACTCTTTTTACCAACTACACAAAAAATTAATTTTCTGGTGTGTAGTTTGTTTTTGTTATAATGTTGATGAGATCACATTGGTTTCAGCAACATGAAGTCGTCACGATCGATTTAACGCAGGTAAAAAAAAATCGTTACAGATTTTCGCAGGTTTACTCTGCTTTCTTTGAATTTTGGCATCTTATTATAAAGCTGTATGATTCTTAATTTATTTTTATTTACTTTTTATTATGTCTTATTTTATAAGAGACGTAAGTCACAACGAAGTCATTTTACGTCCAGTCTTACCCAGACTTGATACAGCTAGGATACTGTGTGTGTGTGTGTCTGTGTGTGTGTGTGTGTGTGTGATCATAATGTAATGGTTTCGTCATTCGAGCTACGCAGTAAGCGTCAATTTTACAGCCTTCGATTGCACATCATATGTCAACAGAAAATGCACATATGGCCAAATGATATTCAATGTCTGATCCGTATTCGTCAAAACCGTAAACATATTTCAACGAATAAAATGCTAAATTCGAAAATCAATTTCACCATAGTCTAATATGTTTCCTGTTTTCAATTTTCTGAAAATAGGTCTCCAAGTTAAAGTTTCTGCACGAATTGGTCATTTTTGCAAGTCATTTTGTGGTAACTCTTTGCAAGGCATTGTGGGTTATACCGTTATACTAGTTCACTTCATTTTTAAAAAGAAATCCAGTGTCATCAATGCGGAAAATAATTCATTCAGGAATTGATGTATATCTTTGTTTCCTATAAACTATACTTATAACTTTATTGACAATTTCAACTACCTGTTAAAAATAAATTCGTTGCCGTGTTGGCAAGGCTTGTAGTTATCTATTTTTCAGAAAATATATAATAGAGCGTGATCCTTATGTTCTTTTCCACAAAAAAAATGTTCGTAAGGCAAATCAGTACTAAAGAATTGCCTCAAGTTCCATCAATTCTGTGAGATGGCTGCCATCTTACAACAGTAGGTTTCAAAAGATACTCGGGTTTCTTTTGTGTCTTGGTACATATGAATTATATCCTTAATTCATTTCTTAGAATCGTGAACAGTAGATTCAAGAGGTTAGTTAAGTTGGTTTTCGTCTGCGATCCTTGATCTATTAATATAATTGATACATAGTTTCTTCAGACTTTTTTCTCTTTTGATGTGGATGCTAAATGTTTTGTTCCTACATTTCGCGCAGTCAACTACATTCAACTACACCACCATGTCTTCTTCTTGATTTGATGATGTATGTCTCTATATAACACATGTATGTTTGCTTATAAATTTATCTCCCACTATATACTAAAAATTTTCCAAATAAATACTTTTTATTTAATTTTTTTTTCAGACCGCAGTGTGTTTGTCTTGTATTGTCATTCTCAACACAACTAGCAAGGTGGAAACCGCTATCAAGATAAATTTTATTTTTTGTCGGTTGTATATCATTTTCGTAATCGAAATCATAAGTTTTGCTTCCTTTGATGTTAATATTACTACACTCATTTGTTTGGGTTTTTTTCTGTGACTTAATGAAGTCAAGAACAAATAAACCATTGTTAAAACAAAAATCTGGTATTTACATAGATATAATCACCAGAAGTGGAAAGTCCAATTCTTACAGGGATCAAAGAGTAGAAAACAGAAATTAAAGACAGGACAGCTATTATTAGTAGAAGATACATTGTGAAGCACTTAAGGCGATAAAACCATGCAGCTTTAGGATGCTCTTACAGAACACAAACTACTTTAAGAGACGACGCAACAAAAATAGTCAATAACATTGACTAAATATTTGGCCTAGGGATACTACAAAAGATAAAGACAAAGATTGAAATAAAGTTAAATGATGTTTGTTTTCGTGTATTTCATTCACATTAGATTGGCATTTCTCGAATGTTTAATATGTGCAAGATTACATAGAGAGAAATATGCTTACTGCACGAAAAAAATCCACGAATCCATTTCAATCTATGTACAAGAAGAGCACGTGAGTGAATAAAGATTCCACTTACGTCATTGGGAAACACCGGTCGAGAGCATGATGGATGAAGGTCAGTAAAACTAGGTCAGGTTGGAATTTCCCTACTGCTCCAAAAAACTCAACCCCAAACGGGTTCAAGCTACCAAAAGTAATTATTCTGCAACAAACGCGTATGGGAACAATAATTACGGCAGCCCAACATGGGTAAATAAGGCATGGGAGTCGCGGTAAAAATGGGTCTATTGGTAAGGTTACAAAGGGGAATTTTGTTGATCAAAATACAGACGCTGAAATGAATAGATCACTGTACATTCAGTGAATATCGTATGTGTACCAAACTGTGTTGCATTTGGCCTAGTCCGAGTTTCCTCTGACCCTTGACACCCCATTTCTGATATTTGGTTTTTTATGTTGGGGTGTAGGGTCAGAGTCTATTCCCTATCAAAAACTTAGAATTTGCCGACACCATTTGGTGTCGGCATAGGGTACTCGCCATCTATCAGGCCTAGCAAACTTAAATGACCTTACATTGACCCATAATTACATTAAATCGATAGGGAAATCATTTATCCTCTCAGAAATTACAAGCATAACACGATTTTGTCTTTAATCCGTTGTCAGACGAGACGTAACTACAGCGTTGATGAATTTTGACCTCGTTCGCACCATTTTCATTGCTAGTCACATGACTAACTAAATCTCGCAGCCGATATGCATAAACGTCATAGGTCAAATAGTCACGTGATAACAACACAAAGCCGCGTTTTCCCCATACCCCTTGTGGAAGACGACAAATGTGTCACCTTCATTGATAACTGATTTTATTACATCATACTGTAGTTCTTTAATATTAAAATAGTATCCCTTTTCTTTAAGTATCTCATTGGCAAGAGCTTCCGTGTATTCGTCTTTACCTGCCATGTTGCAATATAGGTTTATGCACAAAACCTTCCATTCTAGTATTGCAGAAAGAAGATATAAACTCGAAAATATTGAATGAAAGTCACGCAATGTATACAATAACAAGAAAAAACACGTATTATTCAACATATTAATTGGAATAACAGCAGCCCGAAACATGTCACTGTCGCATCTTCCTGGAAAGAGGCTGACTGATCACGCAGAAACTACATGTCAACGCACTTTGTTGTTATCACGTGACTATTTGACCTATGACGTTTATGCACATCGGCTGCGAGATTTAGTTAGTCATGTGACTAGCAATTAAAATGGTGCGAACGAGGTCAAAATTCATCAACGCTGTAGTTACGTCTCGTCTGACAACGGATTAAAGACAAAATCGGTGTTATGCTTGTAATTTCTGAGAGGATAAATGATTTCCCTATCGATTTAATGTAATTATGGGTCAATGTAAGGTCATTTAAGTTTGCTAGGCCTGATAGTTGGCGAGTACCCTATGCCGACACCAAATGGTGTCGGCAAATTCCAAGTTTTTGATAGGGAATAGACTCTGACCCTACACCCCAACATAAAAAACCAGATATCAAAAATGGGGTGTCAAGGGTCAGAGGAAACTCGGACTACATTTGGCCTATCTGTAAATACGACATAATGTTCCAAGTTCGCTGAACTTTACCTAGGTGGCAGTAAGGGGATTGGGAGGCGGACGATACAAAAAAGTTTGCTGTGGGGCCCGTGGAGGTAATTACGCAAATGCAAACATCCATTTTGTACTTTCGCATAGTATGGCCAGGTTTGTTATTAATATATCAAATAAACGTTATATGACATTATTCAATTAACCTCAGTTCACTATGTTGATAGAGCTTGTTTGATGGCAGTGGTATATATAGCCAAGAGGCCGATAGGCATGCCAAGCTGCACTTTACAAATTATTACGGTTTGCTTATAAATATGGCTGACACAATATATTGTTAAACATGATAATACCTAAAGATGTTGAAAAAGAATGAATAAATGTCTTCAAATAAAGCAATTCGACCTAAATTGATCCAGTTATCACCAAGGAGAAATAAGACGGCATCTCTATGACAAATAGACCCCGACCCTCGGTTTCTACCTCAACCCATTCACCTAGCGCAAAGAGCAAATATATGTAACTGTAACCATAATGTAAATAATATCTAAGAACTGGATTAAACAACAGAAACAGCAACATAAAAATTACAATAATGAGAAATTGAATGATATCCTCATACAGGTGGGAATTAATGACTAATTAGAAAATGTACAAGAAATGGATGTGATGTGATGTGATTATGATTTTAGCGTAGCTTTTAACAATTTTTCAGTCATATCGCTACGATGTCTGCAGTGTCGCAGTTTATAGTGATGTCTAGCACTGGGGCATCATGCCGCAGACATGTGTCATGATGTCCCACCCAGTCACACTATTCTGACACCAGGCCGACCAGTCCTGACATTAACCTCTTAATACTGAGCGTCAAGCGAGGCAGCTGTTAGTACAATTTTTGTAAAGTTTTTGGTACGACTCGACCGGAGAAAGAAACCCATGACCTCCTGCATCCGAGGCGGACGCTCTAACCACTAGGCCACCGGATCGATTCGAGTAGAACATGAAACCTTAAGAAGGACAGAAAGACTGGAGGGAAAGAAATGACAATGAAAGAAGAAAACTTATCTGCTGCATTAAAAGGACTTCTAAACGAAGTGGAATAATACACTATATTGACAATACAAGGTTTTGTCACAGAAGATTCAAATAAGAATGAAATATCACCTAATAGCATGGCGAATTTGAAACACGGTCAAAAACTTGAAATCAACATGGAACCTCAGGAAGCATGTACAAGTCACCATTCTGGAATATATACACAAAGCAAATCTAGATCCCTGTGTTGATTCACTAGGTGCATAAAAAATTGGAAGTTGTATACTTCTAGCGGTAGTTTTTTATTTAGTAAAACCAACCTGTAATACAGTTCTAAAAATTTCCATAAAGGTCATACAACCAACAGCAAGCAACATAAAAACAGTATGAAGAGCACATATAAAAGTTTAGATAATACTTATAATTAGTACATGCAGACACATGATAAAAACGTAGTATAAACCACAAATGTAAAGGAAATCAAGAGGATTAAATATTGAATTACACTCAAAAGATTACAAATCATATCACAATATACACGATTCAATAATACAGAGTGAACAGACTCCTCGTTTAAACCAAAACGAAAATAACAAAGTTTGAAGAAAATGAAACAAAATGTGGATCATAGGGTTCAATGGGCAAGAATATTTGTCAATAGTGTATTATTTGCAGTAAGAGAAAATATTGGAAGTACCATCTTTTATGATTTGTAGTCAATAAAGAAAACACCTTTCTTTAGTAATTTAAGTTTGATTAGTAAAGTCAGACTTTACTTCAGTGTGTGTTCGTAGAACTCTTAGTACTGTGATAAAGCATTCCAATTTTATTTTATTTTTTTAATTTTAATAAAAGGCGTAGATTGTACGCTATTTAGTTTGGAAATTTAATTACTGGTGAGCTTTTTCATATACCACAGAGCTATGCAGGAGTCTGAGACTCGAACCCACGATGACGAAGGTGAGATGGTAGTAATCGGCAAAGGTGAGAGTTGTAGACCACTCGACCACCCAGGGCTCCTGTCGGTAAGATACTCTAAGATAATCACCAAACAAATAATTGGACATTAGTTGTTCAAGATGTTGTATACATGCAGAGTGTAGCTTAATTTATCCGATTTGGTTTTCCACATTTACAATGATCTTAATTGATTTGTAAAAATTAAAAAATAAAATGGATTTAACGAGAATGTAGAGCTCATCTAGATCATTTCCCCACTAAGTCTAATCAATCTAACATTATATATATATATATATATATATATATATATATATATATATATATATATATATATATATATATATATAAATACACACACAGAAGGTACATAAAACCTATTTATTGATTAACTAAGTGCAAAATCTTAATGTTAGCCATTATAATGCGAAATATAGGTCACAGTCACATTCTTTTGTGGTAAAGGTGTATAAGTAACATAAATGCATACGAGCATCCAGTTTGATAATTCCAGTTTAATATGAACCTTAGAAATAATCTTAAAACACACAATCTTACCTAATTCAGTAAAGAGTGAAAAATAAATTACAGCGGCCTACTTCTGTGATAATGGTGTTGTACGTATCAATATCATCAGCTTTTATGAGCCTATGTATGATAGTGCAGAGGTCGTGAAACAGATTTAATATTCACTTCATTCAATGCAGCATGAAAAATAGGTCACAGTGACCCGCATTTATAATGGAGAGTGTATCACTCATCAAGATGCATACCTTCGCCGAGTTTCACGAGTCCAGGTATAACAGTATGCATACAGGGTACAAAAATCTTACTTGGTCATAAATTCTACGCAAAAGACAACAATAACCTAAGTCACCTTAGATTTAGATCACAATTACCTATTTTGTGGTTAGGGTGTGATACTAATATAGGTTGTATTTTTTAAGGTTTAGCGCCATGTTTCAGTACACAATAGGCTATACATGGTGGCCAGTATTAGTAGTGGAGGAAGAACCTGGGAAAACTCCTGAAAGAACCACCAACCCACTAGAAGCCAATGGCAAGCTTTCTCACATACCCACCTTGGCCGAATCCGAGACTCAACCCACGCAGACCGAGGTAAGATGGCAGTGATCCGTAACGAAGACCGCTTTAGACCACGCGGGGACACACTAACAGAGGTACATGCAATCGTAAAGTGTGAGGATTCTATCAGAGCTTGAGAAATAAACGTAAACTACAGTTTAATCAGTCATTGATGCTTGCACTATAGGCCAGAGATCTACAATTGTGACGAGAGCGATAAATCAAAGTTCACGTCCTCGCCATATTTCATGCTTTCAGGTGTAACAGAATTTATATGTCTGCAAAATGCCTTAGCTAAACGCATCAGTTTAACAAAAATGCGTACCTCTTGTATATGTTTGTACCAATTAAACATAACCCGCCCCCGCAACCGCGCCTCACTTAAAACGGTTGCACCTCACTTAAAACGGTTGCACCTATGAAGAAAAAATGGTCAATATTCACTAAAATGTACTTATTATATGCTTGTATTATGCCGACTGTGGGAGTAGTTCAATAGGTCATATCTGTATTGTAAATGTGAGCTAAGACGTATATCATAAGACAGTAATAAGACTATTCTGGATCAAAAACATAATTAACGTCGTTAACTGTTTTAAAAGTTAGAAGTGCTGAATTGTAAAATTGGTGATGAGTGGCCAGTGAAAAAGCACATTAAGTCAATATGTATTCTTCTTCTTCGTTCTTAAAATTTGGGTAAAATGTGATATAAAATCATATACCAAGAAATGCATTATGACAACCTTGTAAAAGACAAAGTACAAAACCAAATCCCATTTCAAAAACATAACTTCTAATGTTGACATTACTGCTCTGTTGTTAATGTATTTATCATTGATTTTAAGAACGAATTACACATGCTTTTGGTCAAACGTAAGAAGAAAATAAATAAATAAGTATATAAGATGCATGAAGACATGGTATAAAACATCCCACAAAAAAATATATTGGTCATCAACTTTTTGGACAGTTACACAATCCGTTAAATAACCATTTTAGTTAGAGTTGTTTATCATGTGCACCATGTTGTGGACTAAATCAAGTGTCCAAAGAATTTTAACGCAGTTTCATGCTAAATATTATTTTCTTAATGCAAAAGCACCTTAAAGTTATTTGAGTTCGATATGATAAATGAACTAAACATCAATTAATTGATATGGTGGTTTTTCTGTTTAGAACACTGGAAGGAAGTGGAATTTGTGAATGGAATTTCCCCACATGCTTGTGCCATAAAGGGATATAACTATATTTTATGACATCGAAATTTGTTATCGAACTCGTCCGAAATTTTGTGGAGATGCACTGTCATGTCAAACTAGGTTGAAAACTATCCATAACTACAGTAGGAAATATGAACATACTGATGTATTTTACATGCAAAAAGGGCCATACTTGTGGCAAGTGTTGGCAACATTACTGGTTATCCAAATTTGCAGAGATCAAGTTAATATTAGAGCTGGTTTACAATCCAGTAAGAAACGAGGACAAGATCGTTGATAGGACAAGATTGTCAATTAGAAAATAAAGTTCCCCCGCTATACCTCCACACAAAAATAAAACTATACTTCTGAAAGAAAATAAAGTCCTTGTTATCAGATTAATAACACTAATTAAAAACATAAAATAGAGTCCTTGGTATGTTAATTTACATCCCGGTAACATAAAAACAAAAGACATTTCAATAACAGCATGTATACATTTAAACTATTACAAATTATCGACGGTAAAACATATATCATATTGAGCTTATTTTATCAATGAAAGCTTGTTAATGGAACAAGTGGTGATCATAATGCATGTTGGAATGATGGAGTGTTTAAATTCAAATTTACAAAGAGCTAATATTACACGCTTATGTATGTATGTATGTATGTATGTATGTATGTATGTATGTATGTATGTATGTATGTATGTATGTATGTATGTATGTATGTATGTATGTATGTATGTATGTATGTATGTATGTATGTAAGTATGTATGTATGTATGTATGTATGTATGTATGTATGTATGTATGTATGTATGTATGTATGTATGTATGTATGTATGTATGTATGTATGTATGTATGTATGTATGTATGTATGTATGTAAGTATGTATGTATGTATGTATGTATGTATGTATGTATGTATGTATGTATGTATGTATGTATGTATGTATGTATGTATGTATGTATGTATATGTATATATATCCACAAGTAAGGGTCATAACATTAACAATCATGATAGGGGAAAGTACCTGTCATTACTTTTCCATAAATGAATAGCTAATAAGTATTTTAAACAATCATCATATTTATACAGGTTGTTGGCTAAGTTCTAGATTCCTTTTAGCACACGGTGCAGGAATTTAGTTCTTTATAGCATTGTTGCTGACATCACAATGGTATTTAGCAACAGAAAGCATGCGCGATCGATATACTACAGTTCATAAATATCAAAAACTTTCCAAAGATCTCTTCTACTTTCTTTGATTTTCGCATTTTCTTGAACAGCATTTTTATTGCGGTTCTAAAAGTTGTATAATTTTTTATTTAATTCCTTTTATCATTATTTCCTAAATGATGAGAGATAGAAGTCTAACGACATTATTTTTTAAAGTCCAGTCTTACACCGAGTTCTTATAGCTACAATACTCCTGGGTAAAAAAAAAAATGCCGTCATATTGATGTCCTAATAACATAGTGGTTACGTCATTCGAGCTAAGCAGAAAGAGTAATTTTAAAATAAGTGGATACCCTTACTTTTATTGCACATCACATGTCAAAATAAAATGAACATACGACTAACTGTTATTCAATGACAATGTTATTCGTAATCGTCACAACTTTAAAAATATGTTAACGAATAAAATGACTGTAAAATCCGGAAGATTAAAGACAGCGTTTGAGACGCGCATTAATGCTAA